AACATAGAACGCAACGTTATCTCTCGGGAGTTATTAATGCAACAATCGACGTAGAAGTATTGCCTGAACGTTCAGTTTTTGTTTCTATTTCGTTTCGCGTATAAACTTTGTTAATCTCAATTTCATTCTTATTTTGAATCTCAATAAATTTTTGCGATCACAAAATCTCCCCCTAGAATTGCCGGAATTGATAGAACTTATCACTTTCAAAAATTCTCTATTAAAAATGGACCAACCAGAAGATCATACAGATTCTGATCATATTGGTAAAAATTCTAGGATTACCTCAATTAAAATTATATAATAGATTCAATCAGAAAATTCTGACTTGTCCATTTTTACAAGAATTAAAGCAATTCTTTTTCCATACATTGTGTTATACACAGAATTGCCAGAAGATTAATATATATATTCTAAATTATGTTATACTTATAATTTTGCGATAGATCAGAAGATGCGAAAAATCTTGAGTTAGCATATTCTCTTGATGCTCCATATTTTTCGATTATCGAGATTTTCATATTACCTTTCAGACTCGATCCACGATAAAAGTTGCCTATTTTTACATTATATACTGTACGCATAGTACGGAACTTTGTAACTCGCGAGACAAGATAAATTTTGAATAATGCATCCTAAGATTACTGCCAAGCGTATGCCCGAAAAATTCACAAGACCGGATGGGCTTCTTGCTAAGAGGACGAATTATATCACGGCGCGGTAGGGTTGGCAGCAGACGTTATTCAACACTCGAGTGGACAGTCTCGTTACATCAATTACGGATATCCATTAGCCTAATTAAGCCTCGCGACACGCGCGCGAAACTGCACCATTCGAGGTGTAACTCAACGAGACAGACGCTGTGAGAGAAGAGATATTTAAAAAATGAAATAATAATAATAATAAACATGAATTAAAGTCAAAGTGGGGAAAAACGCAAACAAATTATAACAATATATATTAGGAATAAAAAAAATAAATCAGGTAAAACAGAAAGTGAAACTGTAAACAGAAAGTGTAAACGATGTGAAATGTTGGCGAGAGGCGGATCGACGTAGATATACGTACTAAGGTGGTGAAATATACTTTGCTGAAAGTTTCGACAAAAGCCGAATACAAGCCTCCTTCGCGCCGCCTTATGGGAAATTACACGATGAGTTCGTCGGATAACCTTTCCAAGTAACTCATCCACTCCTCTTTTCTCGTTAATCCCCTTTTCCACTTTGTCGAGTCATTCTCCGACCTGCGTTTCTCATTTCAGGAAGGTTGAAGATCTCTTTTTAATGCCTGCTGCGATTTTTCCTTCAGCATATTTGAAAAGTATAGACGTGTTATCTCGACAGGACGATGATAAATTTAAGGATTAACGCGATAATTCTTTGAACATGACCGAATTTTAACAAAACTTAAATCGATTAATATGCACAATGTTGGTTGTCAGCATACTTTTTTTCGATTTTTTTTCGGTAATTGTAATCTAGTTCTATTGTAATTTTCAATGCTACATATCTTAGAAAAAAAAAGAAGAAATAAAATCTTATATTTAAAAAAAGGCAGACTTTAAAACTGATTTTTGTTAATTACATGCATAATGGAAGTTTAACATAATTTAGTAATCATGAAATATGTTGTCCTATGAAATCAAAACCGTTAAAAATAAGTTTGAGTATATAAAATCGATATATTAAAATTTTTTCTTCATATTCTTCCTATAATTATTAATTTATTCTAATTTCGAATTTATTATCCCTATCTATTCGCAAGAAATTAATATTAAAAATAAAAATACTGACTTTTATATTATACTATGTAGCATTCCAACTTTCAAAAAACATGTATAGAATACTATAAACTATATATAGAATACTATAAACAAATAAACTGTGTTTTCGGAAGTGGAAATGCTAGCGTAACGTCAGCACTTCCACTTTTGCTATTAATTTCTTATGAATAGATAGAAGCAATAAAAATTCGGGACTAAAGCAATAAATTAGCAATAAATTAGCACTTAATTATAACATATATTGTAACATGTTTTAATGATAGAAGTGCTAGATTTATAAAGATAATCAAAATATCGATATTTCTGCGTTCTCTTTGGGTTCATCTCCGCCTCTGATATTCACAGTTCTGAGACATATACATATCTGAGATATGTATCTTTGAATCACGGTCGTCAGGACGTAACGGTGCATTGGGGCGCGACCGGAAACATATGCATAATGCATATAATAATACATATGCGGGAATCTCAGCGTCAGGAAATTCGGTGAGATTGCGAGAGGAGAGAGGCAGAAAGAGAGATATATATTTTAAATTGAATTGAGAACGTGCTAATGAGTTTCGCAAATTATCGCTCCTCGTGAGTGCGACTCGACACGCAATAGCAATTCTCATTTTATAATATATCGAAATAGCTAACTAATAATTGTGCAATTGAACCATATTGTGTACGCTTTTCTCGCAAAACTTCATCAAACAATTGCTTTATGAAAACCTTGTCTCATTCTCGATGAGCTTTGAATATATTGTCCTATATAAATATATAGGACTTCGCAAAATTTGCGACTCAAAATGTTACATCAAGATGGTTCTCGAAAAATATAATGAAAAAAATTTGTTTTTTATTTTAAGCTGTTTTTGAAATATAACAGTTTAAGGAAGATCCTGTTTCAGAAATGGAGCTCAGAAATGGAACAAATTTCAAAGAATGTTTTTAAATTGTAACTCCAATCAATTTTATATATATGTATACATTTTATATTAATAATCAAGTACACATTTTTATTAATGTTTGGCTGAATTATGTACATTGTCAGAACGTAATATCGCGCAAGATAAAATTGATTGATTATTAATTTGTGAGTTATGATGTCAATGGAGTTGAAAAACACGAATTCAAGAAAAATGCTAAATACTCACGTTTAAAGTTTTAGATACTAATACAAAATTTTTGTATATTTACAGTTAATTTCTGGTTAATCTGTATTCATGATCCATAAATAGATGTTCTTTATTGTGAAAGATTCTGTTTCCTTTGAATGCTTGAAGTTTTTCGAATACAAATACATCTCCACAAGCTGTGCGAAGATTCCTACCTGAGTGTGTCAAATTGTCAGGCTATTTGCTAAATCGCTTACAACTTTATCAATTTTTCGAATTTCAAAATCGTACCTTAGGAACATCTTACTTGAATGTTTCATTATAAAAATATGAAAAAAAATCAATTTCTATTATTTTAAGGTTCTAAACCAGGATCCTTCCTTAAATATAACCAATTACAGATTATGATTAGACAGTCATCTATCCATGAGTCACAATAGTATTATGAGTCACAATAGTATATGCAATAGTATTACAGTAAGTGCGCACTTTGGCATGCTAATATTCACAAGTGATCGTCTAAACTTAGTCTACAATTAGCTATATTTAAATATCTTATTACTTCAAAAGCTATATCTTAAAATTAAAATTATAAATAATTTTTTTACTTTATTTTTTGAGAGAACCAATATAGTATTTTAAGTTGGAAAGAATTTTGAAACATCCTATTAAATCTCAAATGTAAGATCTCTATTTTATTTACATTTATTTAAGATTTTGATATAAAAATGTTACTGTAAAAACTGAATTTCTGAAAAATTTTATATTACTGCAAAGAGTTTAAAACATCGGGATTCTAAAACACTTTACATATACATTATATTGTAGAAGTCTGTAATGCGAAATATATACAAAAGTACGTATATTCTTTGATTGCTTCTTCTTTCAGCAGAAGACAGCACTTAGTAAGCGCTTTGCATTGATTGGATTATACTTTTTAAACTAAAGGACTAGTTTTATCTCGACAAAGAAAACTTCCAACAATTGCAAAATAAACATTCTGCGCCATTATTTGGAATATGCTATTAGTATATCTCTCGAATCTTAAAAGGAGATTCGCTAGTAACATACATAACATCCTTGTCAGCATAGCCAAGACATTTGTCATGAAGTCAGAGTTTCAATCATTGTCCTCGGCAACAAGTCCTTCGTTTTTTCTCACACTCAGTCGATTAATATTCGAATCCCCGTATTAGAAGTGTCGGGGAAAGTTTTCGGGGGGAGAGTGACACGTCTTCAGGAGACGGCGAATTAATTAGTCGGCGGGGCGAACTGATGAAGCCATTAATTACGCTGAAGGTTCAAGCAATTCCCTCGTCTTACGGACTGCCTTGTAAGCGGCGGCTGGTCGAATCCAAAATCTCGAACGATAAAACGGCGAGTGTCTCAGCTCGGTTGAGCCAGGAGAAGGGACGTCACGGGACGAAACTTGGACGAAACCAGACAATGGTACTCCATTAAGAGCGCTTTCATCTTTGGAACGAAATCGGTCGAGTAGCTTGACGATTCTCGATACTTAACCTCAGCCATTCCTACGTTCTCGCTTCCTGTCACGACAGAACGAACTTGTAGGTCGGCGACGCTCGCTGGTAGAGCAATTTTAAGCTCGGCTCTGATTTTAAGCCCACTTCTTTATCCGGAAATGGAAAGGGACACCGCGGAAGGTAATCACGGAGAGAGGTTTTCGAACGCATTGGACAACATAACTGTTCCAGACAAAGTGCTTGGGCGAGTAGAACAATATCTCTCGCGGAAAAGAAAAATAATTTCTCATGCACAAAAATACAAATACTCTCTGAATTATGTACGATGGAAAAACAAACAGATGTACTCTCATCTTAAGCTATTCGTATTTGTAGATATTATATATTATACTTTCCAGCGCGAAAATATTGGGCAATAAAATTTCATATATTTATAGTTAAATAAAATTCAAAGTAAAGAGATAAAACTGTTTTTATTTTTTTTAAATCTTTTAATTAATTGCTTAATAAATTAAAGATAGATTATTGCCTATAATACACGCCATTAATGGAACTAACTCCATTAATTATTTTACATGCTGCGTGCATAAGATTAATGGGCAAATTAATTGTGCAAAATAAATGTCGACTCACCAAATACGTTCTGAAAACGTCGAAATTCAGCTTAGATTGCTTCGCGGTGATTCGGCGATGCTGAAAAAAAGAATTGTTCATATTAATCTAAAAAATAATAGTCAAAAATGTTGTAATTATCATAGACAGTGCGTAACGCATTAAAATGTAAAATTACAGATTCGTGCTTTCAGGCGGCAAATTGAAATGTTCCAACATAACAATGACAGACATTACATAATGTTAAATGCATGACAATACATATTATATGCTACGTTTATATATTTTTATGTTTGGTACGTTCTGAAGTTAGTCTCTATAGAAGACAGAATATTTCCTAATTATCAGTTATTTATATACGTATCAATTAGTATGAAATTTGTTACAATAGTCTCCGATATTAATGATACGTCATAATCACAATCGGTAGTAATAGAATAATAGAACGTTTGTCTAATACTAGAATAAAGCCAGTTTATAGTTGTGTAAATATGCAATCATTGACTACGGCCGTATACTTATTCAAGTATACACTTGTATGTGAAAGAGCGCTATTGTCTCTTGTATCAACATGATTTTGATTATCATTCGGAATCATCGTTACCTATTATTATTTATAATTTGGAAAAAGTAGAGTTGACAATAAAATATAAGTTTGATCAAATTGACTCGGCTTGATTTAGTTTGATCTGGAGTTCGAATACAATCGCAAGATGATCCTCTGCTTCCGGTATGCCTTGCGAACCCGTTCGAGGATCTCGGCAATTCTCGATGCTTAACCTATTCCAGTGCGATCATACCTGATCCTCGTTACAGAACGATGGCGATCAGGCGAGTGTGTGCGTGTGTGTGTGTGTGTGTGTGTGTGTGTGTGTGTGTGTGTGTGTGTGTGTGTGTGTGTGTGTGTGTGTGAGAGAGAGAAAGAGAGAGAATTGCAAGAAGAAGATGGAAAGGAAAGGTGCAAGAAGACTATGTAGGTACTTACAATTCGATCTCTGGTCTAAGCCTTTAATGCCTGCTTATTCGCTCGCCTGGAAGAAGATCCCGAAGAGGTATCTAAACTTTTCGAACGCTCCACGAAAGAGAGCTAAACGCCAAACGATTTTGCCGCCGCCACTCGGGGAATAAATACTTCTTTCCTCCGCTGACTAAGTCGTGGCAATGGCTGTCGATAGCTAAGCGAATTACGTCATGATGGAAGATACGACGTCGATATATGAGCTGTTTATTTTGGAGGAAGAAGGGTACGGACATTCCTACTGAGTTTTACATCTCCATAATAAATAGCCGCGTAAGAAAGTCACGGCAAAAACTTTCGCATTTTGAAACTCATTAAAATAAATGTATACCTTAACTTGTAGTTGAGTTTATTCAGTTGATTTGTATCATAAATAGGTCACACTTCATATATCGATAGAAAATTTAGTGGTATCGACATTTAACATTCAACATTCACGTGTTGTCCATGAATGCATTTATGTTCGTCGTGCAAATAGGATAAAACCATTTTGATATTTGACTTGCACTACTTTTAACTTTTAAATAAACCACAGCGTTTATTCTGAACTATCTCGACAAAATTTAAATCTCGATGAAGAGATTTAAATTTTGAAATGTTAAACAGAAACATGGAATAGAAAATATAAATTGTGTTCATGCTGTATCTGTAAATTCTATTTTAGTCATACTTACAAAATGAGAAAAAAAATAGAATAATTAAAAAAAACAATAAAATTCCTTATAATAAAAAAACTAATAAAGAAAATAAAACTAACAGGAATCGGTACTATAATTAGTGCACTTAAATATTAATTCAATGTTTAAATCATAAAACATTTCGGTTATTCTAGTCTTCATCAGCACAAAAACAAGTGATTGTATTTATACTTTAATTAAAAAATGATTTAATTAAAAAAATCTTATATTGTGTTAATAACAGAAAATTATTCACATGACACTTGATCTCGTTTAGAAGATTTACAATCCTTCAAGTAGCGGAAATAATTCTTGACCGGATATCTCTATCGGCAATGTAATAAAATTGCAGAGCCCCTCTAGAGACAGAGGAGAGAGAGAGAGAGAGAGAGAGAGAGAAAGAAAGAAAGAGAGAGAGAGAGAGAGAGAGAGAGAGAGAGAGAGAGAAAGAGAGAAAAAACAGAAAACAGAAAAAAGGAAAAGAGAAATGAATCTAAAGAGATCGCGGGCATTACAACGTGTACTCCGACATCGACTCGACTTTCCGCTAGGAAAGAAAAAAGATGCGGGCGAGTCAGAAAAGGGAGGCAAAGCAAGCGCGCGCTCTATATCCCCTGGATATCGGCGATTGTGTTTTTTGTCAAGGATCGAAAGTGCCTCGTCTACCCACACTGGTGCGCTTTGACGTTTAACCGGACGCTTATCGATTGCGGAATTTATTTCTTTTCGTATCTCCAGTCTCGGCTACCATTGTCCGCCCTCGCGCTCTCTCACCTCCCTCCCCCCCTCTTTCTCTCTCCTATTCCTCTGGATTTGTGTCTCTCTTTGCCATCCCTTCTACATCCCCAATTCCGCCCTCTTTATCCCGAATCACTGGCCAGGCGGAACCAGTCTCTCATTCCCATTTTGTTTCCGTTCCCCGACGGCTGTACAGAGATAGGTGAGATTAAGCTCCGCGATGGCGCGACTGTGGTTATCAGGAGATTGCATTTTAGCATAATGGTTACGAGAGGCTGCGATTGTAGCTCTGTTTTGAGGGATACGCTGTGATGTTGCGCCGTGATGGGTGTCGGGACATTTATCATGGACCAGGTTTTTGCTTTATCCGTCCCTGTTAGTCTCTCGTTCATCCCTACGCATGTCGCTTCGTGCGTATACGCTTGTGAAGTTTATATAATGTAAATTCTCTCTGCGTGATTGCATAAAGAGAAGTTGTATATTAATTAATAAAATGCAATTTTTTAAATAACCTACATTGTTAATTATTTTACATAACTTAGTGTTATAAATTTTTATTCTTTTTATTTTCACATATGCAAAATTAGTAGTAAGACGATTCAATCAATTAATTAAATGAAAATAAAAAAAATATGTTAATTATATTCACTGCTTTTTAAAATTACCGAGTCATCATAAATTAAATTGGATGAATACTTGACCGATTTGTCCGCCCGCATGTCTAGCTCTTTGCCAATATTATTAAAGTGAACGTCGATTTGGTTGAGCACCATGTTTACGCAATACATCAATCGGCGATGGCGAACAGACTTGCACGTCGATAATGCTCGTTCAATTAAACATTTCAAGCTAATTCCAGCCTACACGATGCATATGCATATATATGCTTCATAGTATGATCAGCTATATGCTAATCATGCATGTTCTCAAGTTTATTCAACGTTTGCACAACCAGAAAGAAACACAAACGTGCTCTTCTTACGTTATACAGATCATACTTTATAATAAGACGTTGACGTGATATCCGTTCATATTAATAATAAAAGAAAGAAATATTTTTTTATTAACGATGCTATTAATATCTGATGATAAAAAGATATTAATTTTTTCTGATAGCTAATTAATACAAGATTAGGGTTGGGTAACAACTCGTTGCTTGTAACGAAGTTCTAGTTAGAGTTATTCTTTTTCAATAACTGTAGCTTAATTTTATTTCTTTTTTTCCATCTATAACTAAACTTAGTTATATTTCTTTGGTAATTAGTAGTAGTAGTTTAATAATTACTTTAGATTGAATTTATTCGTCAACAGATAACCGACCAAAATGAAATGTTCGGTAAACGATGATTATTTCTTGTGACTGGAATATATCTTTATTTCTAATAATCATGCTAAACGACTGTATTAAGAATTAAGTTAAGATCTTTTTAAAATATTAACGCATTTTAATATCAATCCTACAATTTTTTATTTTAAATGTATATATTTATTAATTTATTATAAATAACATAGCATATAATCTCGAATGTTTATCATGATAATAATTTCGAAATATTATAGAAAGATATTCTTGTATTTAAAATAATAATAAAAGCTACAAAAAAAATTAACAGAAACGGCTTTATAGTAATCAACATTATTATTCTGCACAAAATACAGATTGCTATTAATCTTCTCCTTTCCTAGGTGATGTATATTGTAGTTCAGAAAAAGCATCGATTATCCAAGAGTACCAATACCAGCTTGTAAACTGTCGATACCTGACTATTCATAATCTGTTATTATTCGACGATTAATCAATAGTTATATAATTCCAAACATCTATCAATCTGCTGCTTATACCTTACAATTTATAATAATCTTCAAATAATCTCAAACTCAGGAAACACCATTTCATAAAATACTGATTAACTCATCTATTAGAAGATTGATAAACGAAAGATTCAATCGTATTAAAGAGATAGCGCGACACGACGAATTCTAAATATAACAATTTATGGAACAGAGATTCATGAAGCACTTAACGAAAACTGAGCAATAATTAAATACGATTTCAATCGTAGAGACTGAAAATATTACGATTTCAATCATAGAGACTGAAATTATTATCAAGTATATATACAGGGTATCTCGAATTTAAATGTCAAAACTTTGAGAGAATATAGGGAGAATATAAATATACTATAATATACCAATAAACTAATATAATAAGAAAAAAATAAATTAAGAAATTTAGAGATATGCTGTTTTTGCTTCATTTTGAAGAAAATCCCAAAAAAAGACAAAACGTATTTTTATTTTTGTATTTACTTATTCACGCCTATTTATTCACATCATTTCCTTAATGTAACTTTCTTAAAAAAGTAGCTATATTAAAAATATTAAAAATATTAAAAATATTATTAAAAAAAGAAATATTATTTTCCTGTATGATTTCTATGACGATAATATTTCAGAGATGGTGCAAGAGTAGGTATATACACATAGGTCAATTTTCGAACAGAAAAATACGGGAACGACGAGTCAATAGGCCCATTCTTTTTAAGAACTCCTTGCACGGTTCATCTTTCCTATTTTTCTTTTCACGTTGAAGAGGATAAAAACCTAAACGGTGCAAAAAATTCAGCTAAAAAACAAACCTATTGCTG